AATGGGATAATGAGCAAAAAAGTGGTTAATATCTTCATTAACCAAACCTCTTTATCTGAAATGGTAGGTACATCATTCTCCACTCACTCCCACTCTTGCATTTACTGCAAGTAACCAAATAGTAGGAATTTCAACTTCCAGTAAATAATTTTTGCATTCTGGACACAGGTCTGGAAAGTAAAATTGCTATACGGTGGTAAAGAAGAATTCCTACTTAGCAGAGTTTCAGTAAAACTCGAATTTTATTATAGAGTGGGATGCCATTCGGTACATTTCTTTTACTGTATTCTCTGGATTATTGCTATATATTTGATTGTGCCAGTGAAAAACAAGAATATGGTTACTGAGCTTAGAAAGTATATCTAATAGTCACTTTTTAAAAGCAAATTCTGTCTTTAGACTTAGTGTTTAAAAGACAATCAAGGGCTGAGGTCAACAACTGTTCTTTTTACCTTCTCGATTTATCTTTTTCTTACAAATAAAGTCACTCTTCCCACTTTCAAGCTCTAGAAACTCACCCAAACCCACCAGTATCAACATAGAGAAGAGTAGGTAACCCCTGACCCAAGTTGGGAAACTCATTCCCTGTAATTTATAGGTAATAAAAGTGGTCTTCTCCTTGTCCTTTGAAGCTTCCAGGCTCAGATTATTCACACTTAAAGCTGCAGATAGCCCTATTTTCTACTTTATAGAGAAAACAATGGACTCTTTAGTAGAAGAAATGGTCTCCATAATCAGCGAAGAGACTGGAAACAGCATACAAAGAAGAAGAGATGGAGAGAGATGGACAGAGTTAGAGATGCATGATAGAGATCAAAATGAAGAATAAGAGAGAACTGGAGACAGGAACTGAGTTCCTCGAGCCAGCTGAGCCTGAGAGCTGTTCCACATCTGCCCTTTCTCTGGGGGTGATTCAATGCATTGCCCTTATGTTGGTTGATATATTTCGATTTTGTCTTCTGTTAAACCATTGTGAGTTAGGTCTCACCACTTGAAAGAAATAGGGTGCTGATTAACCAAGGAACAAAAAGGGAATAGAAGTCACATGAGGAATCTAAAGCCCATTAGTCTATCAGTTCTACTGTCACTTCTAGTACTTTTTGGCATGAGATGTTGGAGGAGTTACTTATTCTGTCTCAGTGTCAGTCCATTTATTGGCAAAATGGGGATAAACTTTTTCTCAAACATTTTCTAAGAAAATCAACAAAATTTGCAGGAGGGAAGGAATATCTGGTTGTTCTGAACTAAACTGTAAAGCCTACCTCAACCCACTATGACACGAAACTGAGCTCGAAATGAAGGAGGAGCTGTGGAGGACAAAGAAAGAATGAATTGATTGCTAAGATGCTACTGGCCACCTTGGTGAGAATGCTTCATGGTTTGGTACAATTAGGCTTTTGAAGGACAGATATTCTTTGCAATAGAAAGCCCTCCCATACAGAATAACTATCCCATAGAGAATAACTATCTCTTGCAGAAGTGAAGTCCAGTTTACCCCCACATAATTTCATTCTTTTCATAATCCTGCCCATCTTTTAAAATCAACAAACCTACAATATATTTTTTCTCAATAATTTTTATTTTTTGGATGTTTTGAAGCTCTTTATCTCTTTTAAGAAAAGGAGCCTTTGAGACCCACTTTTATGACTCTTAAGAAAGCCTGGCTTTTTAATTGGTTTCCTTTTGTAGTCTGATCCACACCATTTAGTGGCATTTAATATAGACTATAAAATGATTCTTCTATTTATTTCAAGAATAATTTTTGTTGTTGTTGTTACTAACAGTTTGTATTAGGTTCAATATCTAAAGTGAATAAAATGGATAGGTGTTTGTGGTATGTTTCTAGATGTATGCAATAAATGAAATATTAGTCTGTTTTATGAACCTAGAGTAAATGACAGCTGTGACACTTAGGAATGGCATCTCACTTACAATATTTGTCTAATTGTTAATGGTTTAATAACTGCAATAAAACAGAACTGCAATAAACAGCAGCTTTTGCCTCAGCTTGACTCTCCTTCCTGTTTATGTGCTCTAACACTTTCGAGAAGAGGGGATTGTTTTTCTTTTTCAATCTGATTGTGTAAAAATGGCACAGAACAGTGGGAAGGAAAGGGTGGGAAAAGGTTTCTAACAGGTATTCCTCTCATCAGATTCCCTATTCTGGATTTAATGTTCTTCATCTTTTCAGTCTCCCTTCTAGCCCCCTCGATATGTCCTAACGTACAATATCAACAGGTAAAAGATAAAATGTGATTAAATGAGGAAGCATGCTTATATGATCCTAAGGTTACATTTCTAAAATGAGTCATTCTGGATGAATTATCTCACACCATATTACTTTCTCAAATGCAGTTTGTTTGTGAAACCCTTATATAAGAAGTTAATCAAGAAAACAGAAAACTTCTAAAAACAAGATAGGTAGAATTTCGATGAATAAGAAATTGTCTACACCGGGTAACAGCAAATGAATTTTCTATACTCTGCAGTGAGTTACTTGTTTAACAGTCTACAGACTAAAGCAAGTTGCCATAGGCAACAAAGTATACCCCCCAAAATCACCATAAATGTTGAAATAAGTGATGGGGGTTTATCCAGTAGCTGAAACTGGAAATCCATCCAAACCAGTGTGGACTTGTCATTTTCCCTAAAGAGCAATTCTATGTTGTTAATCCTTCTAGAGTATATTTCTATTGCTACTATTGGTATTTTAGCTATTGCTATAACTACTTAAGGTATCTTAGTGTTAAGTTGCTTGTCTGCAGACGGTGTTATGTCCTAGTTTTCGTCTTACTACAAAGCAATGAATACATAGAAAAACTTAAATATAGCACCAGAAGGAAAAATATACATGGCTCTAAGTTTGATGAGGAAACTAAGAGAAGAGTTAAATGTCTCTAAGTTACAACGCTTGCTAGTGATAAAATTTCCGTCTCTTAACATCTAATCATGCGCTCATGCTCAGTAATTGTTGATAAGTGATGCTAATCCTACTAGTCTTTGTATCTGGAAAACAAATAAATCTTGATATGATTTGGTTGTGTCCCCACCCAAATCTCAACTTGAATTGTAGCTCCCATAATTCCTGTGTGTTGCAGGAGGGACCCGGTGGGAAGTAATTGAATCACAAGGGCAGGTCTTTCCTGTGCCATTCTCATGATAGTGAATGAGTCTCACAAGATCTGATGGTTTTATAAAGGGGAGTTCCCCTACTCAAGCTCGCTCTTGCCTGCCACCATGTAAGACGTCCTTTTGTTCTTCCTTCATCTTCTGCCATGATTGTGAGGCCTCCTAAGCCATGTGGAACTGTGAGTCCATTAAAATTCTTTCCTTTATAAATAACCCAGTCTTGGGTATGTCTGTATTAGCAGCATGAGAACTGACTAATACACTCCCTCTCCTCTGAAGTCCTGAATAATTGAGACAGTCAGATATATGCAAACTCACTTCTCAGGTCAAGAATATCAAGAAAAGTCATTGTACAGGAAAAAGAAGACTTTTTTTTTGCATATTAGGGACATGTGAGTCACACTTCTGGAAGTACTCTCTGACCACAGGAGCTTTACCCCTTTCCTGTACAAGGCCAGGCTCCCATCTGGGATGGTTCTGGGATTTATTGATGTTTCCTATTTCCCATCCATCATACACACATTACTTTAAACCCAAGAATAGTTCTGAGGAGAGATACTCTCATTCTCACTTTACAGACAGTTCAGACGACTGAGGCTCAGAGTTCCAGAATCAGCTTGAAGCCACAGAGCAGCCCAGTGGAAGCTCTCAGTGCTCGGTGCAGATTTTCTAATTCTGAAGCTTCTGCTTGTCCATCCGTCTGGGCTACTTCCACACAAAGAGTGGACCTCAGTCCTGACTGCACATCTGAATCACTTGCTGAGCTTAACATAAGAAGAAGAAAAAAGTCACTTCTGACAAGTCCCCACCTACAACCAATTCAATGGGAATCTTGGTTGCTGGAGTCTGAGCACAAAACCTCAGTAGGTGATGCCAGTGTGCACCCAGGTTTGCAAATCCTTGCTCTAGAAGATAATCAGCAGAAGCATTTGCTAGGGAGAGGGAGAGAACCTGAGCACCATTCTTCATTGCCATAGAAGTGTTTGGGTGGCCACCTGATTTATCAGCCAAACCAGGACACAGGAGAGAGTGTAATGGGGGTGGTTCTAATAACAAAGCAGGGGCAACAAACATAATCTAAATCTGTCCTGGACCAATGAATCAGTATTTTTGCCCTCTGTGTGACTCAAACTAAATTTTGGTTTCGATTTTTAATTCTAACAGTAAGCACTACTTTATTTAACTCTGTATCTCCACTGGTCTTCCTGTGGAGTGTTGCACAAAGGATACATGGAGAATTTGTAAGATGGGTCCACTCAAGGTTGTTTTTCCTTTTCTGTTTTACAGACTATGGCTCATTTTTTCACTTAAAATAATTGCTACAGTTCTATAAGGTGGATAAAAGAAAAGTGGTTATTTTTTAAAAACAGAAACCAAAAGCTTAAATAATCTTTTCATTGTGAAACAGCTTTCCGGGCTGGTCATAGCCACATGCCCAGCCTAACTTTGCTTTGTTCAGTAGTATACATCATTTACCCTGTGAATTTTGAAATTGTCTTTCTTCCTAGTTTATAGATCTGAATTTTCAGCTGAGATAAATAGACCTATGAACCCTTCTTTATATATTTTAATAGTCACCTAATTACATTTACACTCAAAAAAGAGATGAGTGGTTTGGTATAAATAACAATTCTAGGCAAAGTAAATAAGAAATAAGGAGATAAATTTTTATCAGATAACGGCTTAGTTCTTGTCATATAAAGCAATGGTCCTTGTCTGATCTCCAGTCTCTAAATAATAATTCAAAAGCAACACACACAGCAGTAATTGGACCAGTATAATTGTCTTGAGATTATCTAATTCACTATAAGTAAGCTTCGTAACATAAGATTTACAGCAAACTATTTATTCTGAATAAAAACATCAGAACATTTAAATGGCCAAGATTTATTGTGCACTTACGTACATTTAAAAGAAATCCTGGTGTATTCATTCAGTTGAGTCTTTTTAAATCTCCCAGCTTATAGTTTATACCACTAAATTAACATAGAAGCAAATGAGCTTTTCTTACATACCATAGATTATAGAGAACTTCCTGAATATATAGCTTTATAAAAAGTGTTGAAAGATACATTTAATTCAAGTCTCTTTCCAATTGTAAAAGCTAATTAACTCAATCGAAAACATAATTCTATACAAAGTAATGCTAAGAAAAATGTATGTCTTTTAGCACATTCCACAAGTTTCTACCCAGGTTTATTAAGCAGTATAATAACCACAACCTTTTTCTAGGTAATTATTTCATGTAGTTCTATTGTACTAGATTATTCAAGACACTAATAGAAACATATTAGAGAAGTATTATATGACAAATAAAAAATACTTATTTTCATGTACATCCTAAATTAAGAGCAGAAGCAGAACTAATAAAAAAATCTGGTCTTCTGTTGATTTCTTCTCTTATCTATCTTTTCTTTTCCTTGATCATCATCAGTTTCTGAAGGTTTAGTCCTCAATGTCTTCACTCCTTGGAGAATAGCATGCTTCATCTCTCACCAACAAGCAGGTGGTTCCCAAATCTGTGCTTCACCTCCTCTTTCTGCCGCAGTCTCTCCCTTGTTCTGTAATTTCACATTCCCAAATGAAACTCTCACTGAGTTGTCCCTCGACAAACAATGAACCTACAAGTGAATCCATCACAAAAGTTAAAGATAAATGCAAAGGGAGTTGGTGATCCTGGTCAATATTTTACTTGATGCCCAATTTTCCTTTGTAGAATTAGCAAACTTGGTCAATCAGCATCTGTTTAATCCTCAGTATTTTGCACAGACTTCTTAACCTCACAGCCTCAATTTTCATCCCCCGAGCCATGTTTTCTTTTCTACAAATATACCCCTAAAACATGCCTTTGGACCACAGGAACATTCTAAGCGCTCCTCTGTCATGGCAGCTTTGAATTACCTGATTATGGTAGTGGCACCTTCGTTGCAGTTGTTGCCTTCTGCTTCTCTGCTGGAAAAACTGCTGTCTCCTATGAATACAAAAACATGCCTTTCCCTGCTCCAGTTTCAGAATTTAATTTCCCACTGATCATCAAAAAAGAAGTAAGACATTGTTTACATTTAGAAATTTGCATTTGAATCATGGAAATGATAATCAACATATTTTTTTCTTTGCCCTAATGCTATTTAATATGAAAAGCTGTGAGGTTTTTTTTTCCCCTTTAAAAATATAAGGGCTCTCTTATTCCAGTGGATGTAGATCTCATTTTAAACCAGGTTTTACTTTTATTCTGAGTGATTTAGCAAAAAGAAAGAAATTTAGCTGAGGCAGGAGAATGGCGTAAACCCGGGAGGCGGAGCTTGCAGTGAGCCGAGATCGCGCCACTGCACTCCAGCCTGGGTGACAGAGCCAGACTCCGTCTCAAAAAAAAAAAAAAAAAGAAAGAAATTTAGGCTTACCCATATCCTAGTGGGGATAAAAACATAAAATGGAAAGCAGAGTTATGCAATCACCAACTAGGAAAAGAAAAAAATAGAAGTTTTAAAAGATTATTCAATTTTAAGGTATAATAGATAGCCTAGTGTGCTGTTATTGAGGCACAGAAAGGTGTCCACAAAGACAAAATGTAAAGTACACTACTGAATACTCCACGTGCCAGTAATGTCTGTTACCGTGTGGGCATCAAATGGTTGAAATCTCTTTTTATTATGACATCCTGGAAGCTGTACTTCTTCTCCAAAACTAAGTCAGTTTACATACGTCATCCCCACTGCCAAAAAAAAAAAAAAAAAAAAGCAAGGGCATTCCCAGGCAATAGATTGTGGCAGCAAGGAATTTGCAGACGAAAGAGAGTGAAGCTTCTGTGTTTTTAGAAATTCATTCATTTGTCCAGTATTGAATGAAGAACTTGGACAGCCAGAGCTATATACATCATTGATGAAGACTTTCATAAGACAGTTATCTGTGTGCCTGTTTGTATGCTTTACCAGACTGCACATTCTTTTGAGGTCATTTTTGTTCACCATAATGTGCATCCCAAGAACTAACTATAGTGACTGGTACATATCAGGCATTAAATTAACAATTCCAAAGAGATACTGATAATTTTCTACAAATAAAGTAAAAATCCTGATAAGAATGAAGAGCAAATCCTGGTATGGGTGATACCGAAGGTGACTAATAGACAATATAGAAGCAAACTACAGAGAAAGAAAATAATAAGAGCAAACTCTTATAACACTTACTACATGCCCTGTGAAATTATAAATGTAAATGTATCCAAATCTATCAAAAATCTCTGTTATAAGCACTATTACATTAGATCAGAGACTTCAGGCACAGTGACTGGTCTGAGGTCATACAACATGCAAGTGTCAGAGCTGGAATTTTAATCCAGAAAGGCTGGCTTCAGGAAGTTTTCACTACACTGCTGTCTACAAAAATACTAATCTCAAAAGGATAAGAACAGTCTGTTTTCCTAATAGGGGAGGTGTTGAAAAACCATCTGTGTGGTGAGGAAAAATCAGAAGTAAGAGTAATTATGTGTAATTTTTGAAGCTTTGTATATGTATGTCCATATACTCGTTGCATGGGTATTTATTTATTTATTTATTATTATTATTATTTTTTTGAGACAGGCTCTGGCTCTGTTACCTAGGCTGGAGTTGCAGTGGCATGATCTTGGCTCCTGGGCTCAAGCGATCCTTCCACCTCAGTCTCCTGAGTAGCTGGGACCACAGGCGCATACCACCATGCCCGGCCAATGTTTCGTATTCTTTGTTTCACCGTAGTGCCCATCCTCATGTACATAGCATTTCTATGCAGGTGTGTGTATAAAGGCTTCAGTTCACTACTTATGTACTGGTTTGGGGTAGTTTATTACATATTGTGGATTTAAGAGTTCTCTACTGATCCTTTATATTATCTTTATAAAAGAAAAATAAATGAACCGGATAGACCTTGCTTGCAACCGCCATCAAGCTGTGGTGCTCCTAGTGTCAAGATGCTGTAATCAACCCCATTGTAGAATGTTTCCCAAAGTGATTTTCCTAAAATTCTAGTTCTGTGGGACAATATGAGGTGCCACAAGGAAAATAAGTTTATAGAAACAAGTCTGGAAAATTTTAAGTTAAACAAAATTAACCCAGTTGCATTATGTCAGGGCTTCACACTATAATTAACACATAAATGTGTGTTGTTAACCTCCAAAGACCACCTGTTCTACTGAAGAAATCACAAGATCATGGTTTTTCATAGAACAAACTGAGAAAAACTGCCTTGGAGATTTTATTTTTCCTATTTGGTTGTTTTACACATTATAAGTAGGCCAGACTGTGTTTTGAAAACTTGGCCATCAACTTGCCATCTACATTGAAGAACCACTAAAAGTGTTATATGAGGAATACTTAATCTGTTACATTTACTATTTGAGTACAACTTTCAGGAAAATAGACTTACCCAATGTTTTATGCAATGTTTTGCCATGGTCATAAAATATGTAACATAAATCTTAGCAACTATTTAATTTTTGTTTAGTTTACAAACTTCCACTCACTGGCCCTCCCTAACAGATTCTGTGGACTTGATAGCAAACATGTTTTCTTTTTAAATTTGTTTAAACTGCAGCTAAAATAAACAAGCTTTCAAACAACATTGAATATAATGCAACTCTAGGTTGCTATCACCCTGCTTCATTCACTTAGAACTGATCATGGAAATTGATCCAGTAAGCTTAGCCCTGTCCCACAAGTAACTTACTTTTTGGTGGACAACTCAGTATGCTATTAACGGAGATGAAGCTGAAATACCAAGAGACAACTATTGTGGCAAATTGTGACTCTGTATAAAAGTGGGTTTCACATAGAAGGTGCTATTTGAGTTGGGTCTTGAAAACTAAAAATGTTGCAGCTATATAAGTATTCCATGCAGAGTAATCAACATAAAAAATTATAACGAATCATCATAATAATGAAAGTAAATGGAGCACCCCTATATGCAAGGTACCCAAGTCAGTTTCTTAATTGAGCCCTCATGTCACTCATCTGACACTACTTTAAAGATCAAGATAAAGGTTTAGAAATTCAGAAACATGCCCAGGTCCCATGCACACCAGATCCCAGTCTTCTCTTATGACCTGAGAGCACAGTAAGTTCCAGCAGCAGTAACCCATCTCATAACATAGTAACATAGACAAAGGATGATAATGACAAGTATTAGTTATGAAGCACACACTTTGGACCAGTCACTATTCTAAACTTCTCATCCACCTTATGTACTTTGTTCCTCACAACTATCTGACGAAGAGAATAGGTGATCATGCCCATTTGTCAGATGGGGAAATTTTTTATTTCCTTAGAAGGAGAAAATGTGTTAAGAGAGATTAAATAACTTGTTCAAAGTCACAAGACACATAAATGACAGAATCAAGGCAATTTAACATGAGAGCCTACACTGTTAGCTACCATGTTATATGGCCCACTAGCATAATTATGTGGTACATTTGGAGATTAGGAAGTTTTTTTCTATCAGGAAAAAAGTCATTTTAAAAGCTTAAAAGTTTGGGCCAGTATTACCAGAATGAAAATGACTATATAAGGCAGCAACTTCTTCTTTCTTTCAGATATCATTTCTTTTAAATTAATATTTTAAAAAACCTCACTATTCAGCAAATCTAGGAGACAAATATCTTCTGGGACATACGACGGCCAACATGGTATACAAAGACCAGCACAGAAACTGCTCTGAGTGAATGGACACAGCGTTGGCCCAGAGGTGGCAGAAATGAAAAGGCACCACAGGAAACAAATACACAAGGATATAATGAGATTGTGAAATGAAAAGCAGGAAAATAAATCAAGCAAACAGCACACTAAATGTATGCAAAAATATTGATGAAAACTCCTAAATAAAATATCAAGCAACATAATCTAAATATCATACTAATCATACAATGATCAATTATTTTATGTTAGTTTCCTAGGACTGCTATAACAAAGTATCAGAAACTGAGTGGCTTAATCAACAGAAATGTATGGTCTTACAGATTTCGAGGTTAGAAGCTTGAGATCAAGGTGTGGCAAAGGTGGGTTCCTTCTGAAGCTCTCAAGGAGAATCTATTGCATGCCTCTGTCCTAGCTTCTGGTGGGTTGCTGACAATCTGTGACCTCCTGTGACTTGTCAATGCGTGACTCCAATCTCTGACTTCACATTCACTTGCTGCTCTCCCTTTGGTAATGTCTGTGTTCAAATTTCCCCTTTTTATAAGGACACCAGTCGTATTGGATTAGGGGTTCACCCTACTTACTGTATGACCATATTCTAACTAATTACATGTGAAATGACCCTATTTCCAAATTATGTCACAGTCAGAGGTACTGGAGGTTAGGACACCAACATAGGAATTTGGAGGGACAAAATTTAACTTATAAAATAGGGTTTATTCTAGAATTGTATGAATTGTTTAATATTAGAAAACCTAATAAACTAATTCACTATATTAATAGACCTACGAATTCAAAAACATTTGAAAAAATTCAGTACTCATACTTCAAAAAAAAAAAAAACACCTAAACATGATAAAAACACACCAGAGTCACCCCAAGATCTAGAATTATGTTTTTAAGAGAAACATTAGGTGCATTTACACTTAAATAAGCAATGAGATCAGAATCCTCACTATTTCATCTTTTATAGATATTGATAACAGTGCTACTTGGCAGAAGAAAAATTTAAGAGTATAGAGAATTTTAAAAAATCAAAATGTTGTTTGTATAGGATATGGTCACTGTACAAGGAAAAGTCAAGAAAATCACTTAAAAGAACTATTTCAAAAAAGAGAATTGAATTAGTAAGGTATGTAATTGATGTACAGAAATAAGCAGCATTCATGTATAAAGTAACATCTGAGTAGAAGATATGATGGAAGAGGAAACTCATTTTAAATATTAATGAAAAGGATAGAGTAGGAATAAACTGAAAAGAAATTACCAAAACCTATAGGAAGAAAATTGTTAGATACAAAAGAGGAAAAATTGAGAAGCTATGTAACCATTTCTGGGCGAATATGCATAGAGAGACTCTGAAATACTACACAATAAACTTCAAGAACACATAAGGACCAAGAGCAGTTGTTACATGTGTTTGGGTTGGGGGCAACTTAAGGACTGGACCCTCAGGGTCAAGGATGGGAGAAAGAATTTTATTATTTCTCTTTTTGTACCTTTTGATCTTTGAATCCCTGAGTGAACTACATATTCTAAACTTAAGTCACAAAATAAGTGCTATAGATGGAATGTTTATGTATCCCCAAAACTTGTATGTGATGGTATGAGGAGGTGGGAACTT